TAGAGTATGAAAAGCCGTACTATACTCAAAAAATGTTTAGTAGAGTATTGAAGAGCCGTACTTACAAAAGGTTTAGTTAGTACGAAGAGCTGTACTAAACGCCACAGTATTCTTAGTAGAGTATGAAAAGCTGTACTAAAGTGTGAGTATTACTCTACTGGGCGAAAAGAGCCAGATACTTACTCAATACTCGGGTCAGTACTAATAGTACATACTATACTAAACATTCCCGTGTAATTTTTGCCATATTGCATCACCCCTTGATGACACTGCTGCTATGCTCTCATGGTGAGCCAGTCACTCCAGAGTGCAGGCACCCTTGCTTGAAACACTACATCATGCCATAAAGTAAGGCCACCCGTCCACTCAAGGAAAGCTCTCAAGAGGGATGGTGGTGAAAGATATTTTTCGGTGAAGATCGGTTATGCCTTGTCGACAACTGTGTTAACTTGCGCACCTCTACAAGGTGCTTTCACACTGAACTTTGTGGAGTATTCTGTACCTGGGACACGTTGCAGACGCTGGCGCCGTCCATGAAGGCCTCCATCGTGACCACCATTGTTGTGGCGACTTCGACTAGCATCCTGCGAAACCGATGGCAAAAGCACGGTTATCCAGGGCGTGTGTTGTGTCATCCCAGGTGATGGTTGGTGGGCTTAGAAACTATCAGACGTATCCCTGTCGGAGGAAAACGATAACGAAACAATTCCCTTCGACGGCGGATACATCTCGAACGGGTCGTAATTATGACAGTGTTTCTGGGCTTGTATGCATTTTTCTATAAGAAACCAAATGATCAGATCAAAGGTGGCATGTGCCTGCAAAGCTGATCGATCTCCGCGCTTTGTTATGTTCTCGGAGCTACATAGCACGGGGAATGTTCCCAGCACCCACCACACCCATTCGCACAAGTATGTAACGAGGAGAGCAGTACCTGCTAGACTGGAGCATTGCATTTTCGATCACAGTCGCAGCCTTTGCGTTTCGCGATATCACACGTACCACACACCAATAGTCTACACGGCAGTCAGACGTCAATCTCCACTGCCCACCTACCCTCTACACGACGAATCAGCTTGTCCTCCCCCCCCAACCTACTACTGCTACGTTGTACGCTGTCGTTAGAAGGAAAGGTCCGACTGCTGTGTGTCGCACTTAACATACCGCTCCATGGGACTCGCTGAATACCTCACGGCGCTGATCCTGTGAGAACCCGGCGTGCTCCGTCCCGGCTTTGTAGGGATGCGAGGTCCATGGTCAAACGACTACCAAAGCACGATTAAGAGTACACCCTCGACCGAAACACGTCCCAGTAATAATTCGACGTGTTTCGAAGAGGTTACTGGGGACTTCATGATCACTCCCCCTAACGTCTTTCCCCGATGGAATGCTTTATATCCAACAGGTTTTTCCTTTTACAAAAACCCTGCGAGGGCTACTGAGGACGAGTCTCCCATGAATATGGCGGGGTGCCAACCCGCACATGTTGCGGGAGGTGGTGTCACTCTGACTATTTTGTACGCGCCCCGAGAATGCGACCAAGAATGACCTGGGCAGGAAGGTACCGATTGCGGGGCCTTTTCCATTGGCAGTTAGTTGGTGTGCTCGGAGAGAGGCGCGCCAACAATATATTTCCACGAACTTTCAACCACGAAAAATAGAAGAAAAACATTCGTGGCTACAGGGCCACGTACCTTTCTTCACCTACACTACACCCGCCTACAAAATGCTCGCCAAAGGAAAGTGATGCAGGTATTTAGCGATCCTCGCATGTTCAACTTGGCAGCAGGAACGATCAGTCTTCGCGCTTTTATTCCAACCGAGAAGATCATCAACGTTACACGAAAACAGACAACCAACGACAGCGGCGGTTGGCACCGACTACGTCGAAGCAAACAAGAACAACGCCGTCTTTGCTCTTATCTTGCCATGAGCATATTTCTTCACGGTTCTTCACGGTGTGCGCCCCCCAACCATGACAGGCACCCACCTCCATCAACCTTCTGCGAGCCAGCGCGCGCATATTGTTCTTGGGGAGTAAGAATTATTCGAGCGAAGCGAGATTTCTAATCTTGCCTGAGAGGGCTCAGCGCAATATAGGGGCCGATGCAGGAAAAAAAGTGCGTGCGTGTGTTGTGTTCGCTTAAACTAGGTTTTAGAGTACAGGACTTGATTTGTGACTACAGGGCGCACTTTTTTTTTTTACACAGCAGAGCAGCAAACAGCAACAGCAGACAACACGCGCTCAGCGAGCAGACTGAACACACACGCACAGCAGACAACACGCGCTCAGCGGGCACAGCGACACACCAACAGCGCAGAGCGGACACAGCCACAGCGGCCTGCATGGCATGGCAATTG